TTATGTGAAAGATAATAAGTTTGTAAATAATATGTAAGAAAGGAAATAAAGTTTTATACTAAAATTTCTTTTAAACAATAATGAAAGACTTTGTTTGGAAGCCATTTTTTATAATTAATAAAACGTTAAGAGATTAAGGTAAGTTCCTTGACTAAGCTCTTATGGACTAAATGACAGGTATGTCATTATGTCCGTTGCCTATGTATGTCGTTTTGTCCATATAACGTTATAAAAAAACAAAATTATAAAATAAATACAAAGATGTTATTTTTAATGGAAAAAGTTATTTAAGTGCAACAACAAATTCTTGAGGGTTGAAATAAATGCTAAACAAGTAGATAAAATAGTGAAAAACTTACCATCTATACAAAAAAACTTGTTGCGAGGAAAAAAACTCATAACGTATCATTTTTTGTCGTCGGCCATGACACCCGGGCCAATGAGAGGAGTGCGTTCACATTTTGACAGGTTAATAAAAGCCGCTCGTATAACATGGTGTCATGGTCAGTTGTGCGCTTGAGACCGCCAAATTCAAATTATGGTGCCTATGTCATTTTGTACGTATATTTCATTTTGTCCGTATTTCCCCTACTAATATACTAATATACTAATTACATGGGATATAATAATATACTACACTAATAATGGATTTTTTCGGATACTTTGAATTATAATTGAAAAGTCGGATACTTTTCGGTTATCCGACTTTTCAATTATAAGACCAACCCCAGTCCCCAATTGAGTCGGATAATCGATGCTCTACTGTATTATGAAAATTCTTGAAACTGAGAGTAGGGAATATGGGTTGCTGATTAATGGAAGTAAAACGAAGTAATGATAATTGATCGTTCCTTAACACAGACTAAAGCCTGGTACCCACATGCGGCAACGGACGACGGAAACAGTCGACGGAACGGCAAAATGACGTCACTTTTGCCGTCGACGTCGACGGAACACGAAGTTGAAAATTTTCAACTTTTGCCGCGACAGAAAGCGGCACGGTAAAAATTAGACCAATAGGAAGACCGTTTAGAAATGTCGTTATAAAGATCACGTGGAACGATAGCATTTGAACTATGGCGGTCGGCAAGCTAAAAAGCTTTATTTGTACACTAATACGCTATATTTTATTTATACTCTACATTACTATCCGATTTAAATATTAATGTCTAATATTTGACTACTGCGTAAAATATTGGGAATGGAGTAAGCGTAATTCGGCGACGAAAGTGTTCGATATTCCTAACTTTCGACGATTTAGAATATTTTTCCTATCGAAATTATTCGTTTTTGAGGTTTTTTTATTTGCGATAAGATCGAAGGCAAACTTAAAAAGTTTAATTGATATAACAAAGCAATCCCGGAAGACGCCATTTTCGACTACTGGCACGTGGTCTACCTCAAGGACTTTAAACTATAAGGATAGCCAGATCCCGTATATTTGTTAGCGTGACCTTGGCTCTATGTGACGTCACAGCATGTCCTCTACTTCAACACGACAGATCTTTCAAATAACAAAATACGATAAAATATTAAATCATTTCTTAATTAATTATTAAATTACTACTAAATGTAAACTACTGTAGAATTTTCGGATTTAATAAGTGTACTGTACGTCAATAAATTTACAAGTCTTTTGTCTAATATTTATTTAACAAATTAATGAGCTATATTTTTTATTATGTGATTATCTTACTTAACTTTTTAATTTTTTTTCGACAATCACCATTTTCAGAAGGCATTCTTTTCAATATTTTATAGTTTTCTTGTTTAAGATTTCTATAATTAATTCTTATTATAGTTCTTAATTTACAAAAATCTTTTATTAAAGTAAAAGGTAAAACTGTTTCCACTGACTAATTCTGTACAACTCCGGGGCCTTTTTTATACGATTCATCGTGATATATTTCGAAATATTTATTCCATTCTATAATTTTTGCTAGCCATTCATCAGTAGGTTTAATAAGCCCTCCATAAGATAAATGTTGCACCCATGACGGAATGCTATAGTTGTAATGATTTTTAATTTTGTTAGTGGAATTAATTAAGTTTGGGTATTTTTCTTTATATTTATAGGCAAAATATCCTGCTATATACTCGAGAGCATCGTAGGAAGTTTCTTCAGAGATTGTGTTAAAGTCTAGATTGCATGTAGAGTTTCCTGAAGATTTATTTGAAGAAAAAGTAGTTTTACATTCAGTATATTGGTCTGTATTTTCACTTGATACTTCTACATGTGCTTTCTCTAAAACTTTGGGTATAATATATTCCTCTTGTCTTCGATCTGTAGT